ATTTAAGAAACATTGACTCTTTGCTGTCCTTTAAGAAAGAACTCAAAACTTATTTGTTTAGTTTAGCTTTTAGAATTTAATTTGTTTGTTATATTAGAGCGCATAGAACAGACTTGTATATGCGCTATACAAGTTTTCATTATTATTATTATTATTATTATTATTATTATTATTATTATTATTATTATTAAAGCCATTGCTCATGATGACTCCTATTACCGTGCTATTGTTACTCAAACAAACAATGATGGCACTGTTGGTCTGTACTATGTGGACTATGGTGATAGTGGAACAGTGCCAAAGTACAAGCTTCACAAGCTCAGGTTTGTCACTCAATTCACTTCAAACCATTCAAAGTCTATTCTTATATATTTTACTGAGAATTGCAATGACAGATCCAGAATTACAGGAGAATGGGGTGGGGGTGCTCAAGCAAAAAAAAAATTGCAATGCATTTGATAGATTTATGGCAATATGAACACTAAACTATATCTCTATCCATTGTGTACTTTTGAATGGTTCTCCTGACTATCAAGAAGATATGACTTAGTTATCTGTTATTAACATTGGGATCCATCTTTGTTTCTTAAAGAAAGGAGTATTTACAACTTCCATTCCAAGCAATTGAATGTTATTTGGCCAACACTAGACCAAAAGGTGCTCAACAAAATGGTGATTTTCACAATACACAAACTCACATTATATTGTTGTGTAATTTATTTTTTTTCCATTTATTTTTTCCATAATTTCAATTTTCTATTCGCCCATCCATTTCTGTATTCATTCACATATTTATTCATATACCTTTGTATATTATCCTTCAAGGTGAGAGCTGGGATAAACAAGCATCAGAAGACTTTGAGAAGTTAACACATTACCCTAACTGGGTGGGTCTTATGGCCAAAAATGTCAAGTATTGTGGTAGCATCCCATGTCTTGATTTGTATGACACAACGACTGATAAGGTAACAATCATTTTTTTATGAATTTGAAATTATATTAGATGAATGAATGGAATAGTTGGATTAAACAAGATTGATGATATGCCGGCCATTTTAGCAGGCAGGAGATATAGAATGATGTTTTACGTGAATTTTGGCATTCTGTTCATCTCATATACTTCAAAAATAGACTTAAAAATGGGAATTAAAGACCTGTACAATATCACCATGCAAATGGTGGTAAACATGAATTTAATAGCCTTTTGAGGGTTCTCCAAACCAAATAAGCAATTTGCAGCCTTCACTCTGTAAGCTTGAAAGAATTTCATGTAAACACTAGGACATTCACATCAACCAAGAAATGATTCAACGTGGATATGCCTTTGAAGATAGCTCGTATCCAACACAGACATCTGAGCCAGAACCAAGAGGAAGATATGTTAAAGGTACTTATTGTGAATTATTATTTTGTATTGTGTGTTTGTTGGTTTGCAATTGTATGCTTTTTGAATCTTGGCTGTATTGTTTCATTTGTCAAATGAGTTCGTTTTTGTTTTCGCTTCCTTAAGATCATAAGATTATGTTTTTGAACAGCTACTTCTTTTTTGTTTGCAATGGTGCTATTGTACATTCTCTCATTTTTCGTCAATTCAGGTACATCACATAACACATTTCCAGAAAATTCATTATCCGAAAATGAAGTATTTACCACACATTCTGCCACAGTCGTCGATGAAGAAGACGCAAAGATAGACCTTAACTTGAGTGGACCTATTAATCCCAACGAGTTCTCGCCCATTAAAAGTGCCCTGGTAAAACGTGTCTCAAAAGAGTACATAAATACCAGTGCAGTAACTAAAGATCCAGGAATGCGTGCTGCCGTTGACACAATATCAGAAGAGAAACTTGTACAAGAGTTAGTTGTTGCTGCTGAGATTGAATCACAATTGCAATCTTTACCGGAAATTGAATCTGAGTCTATACCGGAAGTGGAGTCCTCTCTGGAGGTAAATTCCATATCGAAAACACTAGAGTCTGCTCCGGAAAAAGATTTTAAATCTACGCCAGAAGTGAATGTTCCAAGTGATGTTCCCCCATCTCTTGCTGAGGTTTCCGGTTTTGGCTCCCCAAATTCATCGCATGTTTTGAAACCAGAGGTTAGGGAAATGATTGAAATCGAAGTGGGCCAATCATTTGAGACGCAGCTCACACCACCCAACGGTATTGTCACGCAATCGCGGATTAAGGAGAGGAGTGACGCGGGAGGAGTGTTTTCGACTGAGGTTGCGCAATCTGATTCTGGAATTGATGTCAAGCGTGATGGCGATGTGATGAACATTTCTGTAGATTCTCACTTGGAACCATCTGTCGCGCAAGCTACTATCACGCCATCTGTAGATGATGACGACGACGACGATGATTTAGAAACTTTCACTTCAACACTCCAAAAGCAAGTCCACAGTAAAAAAACTTTTGTTTCATCAGTGACTGTCACATCAAACCACAACAAAAGGTCCACTGTCACGATCGTACCAACAAGTGACGCAGAAGATGCCGAAGCAGGCAGYGAGACCACGCATTCCAGTAAAATATCATATGCACAAGTCTTAACGAAATCCAAAAAAGATGGTCCAGCCATAGTTAATCTATCTGCACACCCTGCAGGTAATGAAGACAACACCGTAGAACAAAGATTTGAAATTCATTCAAAACCTAACAATGCCTTTGAATTACGGCAGGAAGTGACGCCATATAAGGAAGGTAGCATCGAACAAACACTTAATCACATGACTCAGTCAACCAATCAAGATAAAGCGCCAATTCCAAATCAACAAAATGGCGCTTTGAATTTTGAGAAAAAAGATGTTCCGAGTGATGACCGTAAAAGCCCTTTGAATATTGACAGTGATTCCGAGACGTACTTAAGCGCTTTAGAAGAACCCGCCTCGGACACCGACACAACAAGCTATTACGAGACAGCTGCCGACCGAATAAGCGGCAGCTCTACATCACTTGACTCCTTAACACCAGGCGTCGATACTGATACTGACACGGTCAGACCACACGACGAGGAGAATGGTACGCCAGTAAATAGCGACACTGATGATGACTATGATAGCGATGATGAAAGCGAAGCGGCCGATAAAACGCCAAAAAGGAAAGAGTCTGACGGTCATGTCGACGAGGGGAGCACACCGAAAGCGAGTGATTCGCTCARAATGGCAGCAAAATATCTGTCGGACATGGACCTTGGATACAAAGGTGAYTCTGAAGATGTTACAGAATCAAGAGAAGACTTAAGTTGACTTTTGCTCGTGGTACATTTCCATTAACAAAAAAACATAMATTTTCTAATGAATTGGGCGATTTTCCACTTTCTACAGTGGAACCCAACATAACGAGCAACTGCTTAATACAGCCACCCCTTTAATAAGGTCATTTTTGAATGTTACATCGGTGGCCAGATTACGGAGGCTCCACTGTTGTATTCAACAGCATGTTTTTGGTTTTCCTTTTATATCATTTTTTATTCAGTTTTGGTCCAATTTGTTAGTGAATACTCAAAACAATGAAAATTGTTTAAAATATTAGCGGCCTTTTGGCCTTCAGTCTCATTTAGACAATAAAGTAGTTGAAGCGAGGGCATTATGCTGTGATAACTGGCTAGATGTAACTGGATACATACATATGTGGTGTGATCCAGCGGATACACATGTCGGTTCTTCTGGACCCTTTTTTCCGCGATCAAGAATTAAAAGCTAAATAGGGTCTGAGATTGTACTATGTTAAGGCTAATAGCTGTTTGGATTCTCTTGAGCAAGAGACAAAAGAGAGAACGAGAAAATGTCTTTATAACAATAGCCTTGAAAATTGGCATTTTCCCCAAGTTGAGACTAAACCTGTGTTGATTCCCATAAGACCTAAGGTTTAAGCGTTTTGGGAATACAGGGTTAGCCTCTACTCGGGGAAAATGTAAATTTTTAGCGCTATTGTAATTTCAACATTTTCTCTTGCTTTTTTTATGTCTTTGCGTAAGAGAATCTGTTGTCAAGTAAAGCAGCGACATTTTGCTTTAAATTCGAAGTTGGAGTATTCTTCGTGTGCAACCACATGACTTGTATCCCCTGAGAAATAAACAACAAAGCAATCGCCGCCATGTTGGATGAATGAACAAGAGAAACTAATGAGGAATGCTTTGTGATCTTCATCCAACATGGCGGTGATGACGTAACTTGCACGCCAAGAATAATTTCCTTCTCTATAGTCTGAGTTCATCCAGCGTTTACCCGTAAACACGAGTTTAAGAACGTTAATTTTGAAAATAAACCGGATGTACGCAGGCTATCTTCTCCAGCGCTGTAACTTTTTATCATTTCTAGAAGTCAATTCCATACAAGAACTAAATATTGATGTGATACTGTAAAGTAATATATAGAGGATATGACATGGGCGCGTGCTGAACGGATAAGGATTTTTTATTCAAGATCTCCAATATATAGAGATATTGAAAATAGACAGTGAAATGAACACACTTTTGATAAAATGTTTGATAGTGCAGTGTGACTAGTTTCTTTAATATTCCTATCGAGCAATCTGACTTATTGAAACTGTATGAAACTCACGTAAAATTGATTATAAAGTGTAGAAATTATAAATGAAAAAATGAAGTCTGGAAAAGGGAAGTGTTTCTCTGTTGTGTACACGGAAAGAGAGCCTTTTTTGGTGTCCGAAAATGAGATTCTTCAAAACGTCGGCTTTTGAAGTGGATGGTCAACGAAAATCGACAAAACTCTGGTCAACTTCACATAACTACTAGTTTGTGTAAACTGTTGTTTTCTGTTTTACAGCATTTTSTACTCTTTTACGTGCTGTTTTTGCTCTTTTATTGTTTCCACTGTATTGTACTTTCAGTAATTCTCGAATTGTTTTGTTGTCAAACATGCTACCAACCTGCCGCGAGTCAATCATTTTTGTAAACAACAGTGGCGCTGGCAAATGTTTTGAAGCTACATTTTGCTTTGACGATCACATTTGATAAAGTTTAGATGATAAAAAAAAAGATTTTACGATAATAAAAATATTTTGAGCATCAAAGAGTCGCCTCAACATTTGTTTATGCCTAACTCTATGGACCCTATTTCAGTTTGATTAATGTAGTTRACTGTTTTCTTAAATAATCCAGTTTCGAATTCTTCAATGCTCTGTGTTAGCCTCATTTGTGCGCAAAATATTCGTAATTGTGAGAATAAAAGTGTGAGATTTCATATCAAATCTATTGTCTTTCTTTTCAAATTCCATGCGTTTTCTCGGCCTATCAATGAAACAAAAGAATATGTTACTTCGTTTTGAGGCTAACACAGAGCAAACCAGAACTCGAAATTGGAGTATTGCGCAAAAAAGATAAATAATCAAACAGCGATTAAACAAAAACRCGAGCAAAACCGTCTTGCTGACTATCTGTCATGGGCAATTCCATGCTGAATTCTCCCAGTTCGATCGACTCRATACCAAATCAGCCCACAAGTATTACGAGAAATGTGTGGCTCTAAACTTGAAGAAGGTCTTTGCGCATGTCAGTATTAGTAGCTCTGAAACAAAAACAGTAAATTTAGTGGAAATACAATGACCAACWTTTACCAAAAGATACAGCTATTTCAAAAAACGTCGGGGAGAACGCGAACGGTGATTGTCGAAGTGAGATTGCACGACCGAAAGGGACTATGGTTACATTGTTTTGATAAACAAAATCTCGCTTATTGGATTCACCTTACATAGAAATGGAAACGCAATGGAGCCAATGTTTACCATAGACTATCTTACAGTATAAATCAGTTATTATTGCCTTTCAACTACCAAAACCCATGACTACTTTCGCCATTTTATCCGACAACCTTTTTTGAAATAGCTATATGCATGTTGGATAAAAATGGGAAGCAAGGCACATTGGTCAGACTTAAGGTGTTTCATAGTGGTTGGCAATCCCGCGCACCTAACATTTTTAAACGGCCGTTAATACAACTCGATTTTCGTAAAATGTTGGAAATGTTGATGTACTTAGATGGAAAATTTTTAAACATGTATTGATTTTTAATTTACTGCAAAAATAGCAGTTTTATGGTAGAAAGAAAGAATTCAAAGAAAGCTGTTTTCCGGCGAATTTCGATGGCACCTAGAAAAACCAAAAGTGCTGCGTTTAACTGTAGGAAATTCTTTTAGACGATTTTGAGTAAAACGATTAAACGCATATGTGTTGCGTTTTTGTGCTTTTACAAACAGGCTCACAA